TCAAGCTACACAGAAGCTGCGAAGTCCTCTCAGTGGCATCAAGCTATGTCATCAAAGTTCATGGCCTTACAAAGCCAAGGTACCTAACATCTCACTCCACTGCCAACTCATACACCTGTACTTGGCTGCCGCTGGACATTCAAGACCAAACTCAACACTGACGGCACAGTAAATCATTATAAGGCTAGGCTTGTTGCACAGGGCTTCCATCAAGAAAAAGGCGTCAACTACCAACAGACCTTTAGCCCGGTGGCTAAGATGCCGACCACACGAGTCCTCCTAATCATCTCCCTCCACCGAGGCTGGCCAATTCATCAATTCGATATCAACAATGCATTTCTCCATGGTGATCTTGAGGAGGATGTATACATGAAACAACCACAAGGTTTCGTCGATCCCATGCAACCGAACCATGTTTGTAAACTGCGAAAAGCACTCTACGGCCTCAAACAGACTCCCTGTCAGTGGTTTCACAAACTGATATCCTTTCTACATGCATTTGGCTTTTACTTCAGCAAGGCAGACCTCTCCTTGCTCATCTACGACTGCCAAGGCATTCAGCTTTACCTGCTTATCTACGTCGATGACCTCTTACTCTCTGGCAACGATCAGCACACTCTACAGAAACTCCTGGCCCAGCTCAAACAGACCTTCTCCCTCAAACAACTCGATAACGCCAATCTCTTCTTAGGCATTCAAATACAAACCACCCCCACATGTCTCATCCTGCATCAAGATCATTATGCCAGGGACATAATTCACTCAGCCGGCCTAGACTCCTCCAAACCAGTGACTACTCCCATATCTCCTAAGGAGACAAAGTCCTCTGCTTATCTCCTACCTCATGACAATCCCACGTTCTATCGAAAGATAGCGGGCTCCTTACAATATCTTACAGTGACACGGCCGGACATTGCCTTTGCCACAAACGTTATATGCCAACATATGCACAGTCCAACTGCTTCCGACTTCAAACATCTCAAGCATCTCATACGGTACATCAAAGGAACCCAAGACTATGGTATGCAAATCACCAAGGGAGCTCTCAACCTCACCGCATACGCAGACGCTGAATGGGCATCAAACTCCGACGATCGCAAATCAATCTCCGGCTTTTGCGCATACTTGGGATCCAATCTCATATCCTGGAGCGTCAAGAAGCAGTCCACAATGGCTAAGTCTTCGACAAAAGCCGAATATCGCGCTCTCGCTGCAGTGACATCCGATGTCATCTGGTTACGAAGACTCCTAAATGACTTCAAGGCAACACAGTCTCTTCCAACTCCGATCATGTGTGATAATGTCTCTGCCACAGCCCTCGCTAATAATCCCATCTTCCACGCATGAACTAAACACATTGAAATTGATCACCATTTCATCAGTGATCATATCAATAGCAAGTCAATTTACGGTGAACCATATCAGCTTTGTCGATCAACCGGCGGACATTCTAACCAAACCTCTCACCGGCAACAGGTTCACCGAACTACGTCGCAAACTGACCATCTGCAACCCAGATCGTCACTTTGAAGGGGGATGTTAGCACACCTTACATTACTCTTCCAGCTTAACTTATCGCTCACGATCACCTACAGCAGCTCCGGGGACACGATCGCCTGCGACGCCTGGCACACACAGTCTGCGGCTAACGACCGCCTGACATTGTAACCGTCTATCTCCTTAGGCTCTATAAAAATGAATGTATCAGCCTCTGTTAAGACAATGAAGGCAAAAGCTTTCATTCCCTGTATCGTCTTCTTCCTCCTTTTCCTCTGTTTGTTCTTCGCACGGAACTCTTTACTAGGTACATTATACGGTGCACAAGAGCGAGCACCCAAAACATAATAGAACCGCAAAAAACTTCATAAAGCTCTATGAATCTCCTCCCAGAAATAGTCTCACAATCACCTGCACTAAGAAACATCTGCACAAAGAGGTAATACAAGGAGCAATAACAACAACTATAATAGTGACAATAAATGAGAGAATAACAACTATAGAGGGAACCATTACCACCCAACAGATGACCACCCCACATGAGTAGAAAGCATCTCACAAGAGAGCAATACAAACCCAAAAGAACATGCAAAAACTTCAGCTCAACAATATAACCATCAGATTGGGAGTTCACCTCCATAATCTAATATGATATATATGTTCAAGTTTGTGAAAGAAAAAGATGATCACTCGATTAATTTAGTTCATAAAGTTATTAAAATTATTTTGGAGATTTAGGACTAAATCAAGTATATATTTTGAAACTCAGCATTTTAAAAAAGAAAAGTGCGGTCGACAAATTGGCAATTGAAGAAGTCTCTCTCTCCATATCTCCTGAAACTAATTTCTACTTGTTTGCCCCGAGGAGAACTATAAAAGCAAGATAAATTATAGCTGGATGAAGCAAATTTTAAATGATATATAATTTTTAAACTGACCTTAAGAGATAATCATAGTTAAGAACTAACCTGTGTATTTTTGAAGAAAAATATGTGTATGGGAGCTGATGATTGTGGGAAAAAATTTGTATGGATAGCCTCTCATATTTTTAATTTAGAACTATTTAAAATCATGATATATGCTTTTTAAAATAAATTTTTTATAATTGTTCAGAAGATAAAATATTAAATTGAAATAATATTTGTTTTACAATTTTACAAACATCATGAAACTTTTTTACAAAAATTTAATCTCAAATCTGTATTTAAAAAACATGGCTAAAATTTTCAAAAATTACTTTGAGGACTATATGAATTTTTATTTCAGTAATATTATAAACAAAACAACATTTAGCATGGCTAATTTAGTTAAATGTTTACCCTTTTGGAGTACATTGATTATCTTGTAATTTAATAAACAATATTCCATAACCAAAAATAGGATAAAAGTTTTTATGATTTATCTATAAGCTTGAAACGTCTTAGTTGTAGCGGTCAAATACAGTTGAGGTTGAGTGAGTTTTCTTCTATCTTAACCTCAAGTTGAGTCAATAATGATCAATTCTGAATTAAATTTTTAGCTAATTGGAATAAAATTGAGCCAAATTTAGTATTTTATTTCTAATTTTGTATTATCAAAAAAATTAACTATAAATATTGGTTTATGTATCCCCAACAAAATTCAACTTTGTTGGGAACATCTTATACTTGCACATAGTTAAAAATTCAGCATTTTGATTTTGTTATTTCTCATAGCTTTATTAAACATGGAGTTACTTAATTATTTCTCGCATCTCATTTTGCATCTGCTTCTCTTTTATTTAAATATCACATAGGTACTACAAAATAAATACATCTAACTAAAGCTTTTATGTGAGTGAAATCATTTGCTAAACATTCAATTCATAAATGATCAGCAAAATTCAAGCAACTTTTTTCTCTCCCATATCCATTTATTACATTTATATTCAACTTATGAAATATTATTTTTACCTTTTCAATGAAACGTGTGATTGAATTTTGGTAACTCTTATATATTAGGTCAACAAAAGAATAAAGTTCATCAGCATTTTCTAATCTTACGAAAAATTTTAGTGATGACTATTATACTTCAACAACACATCATACCGTTTTCTATTTGCCCACTATCATGTTAGCAACTTTATGGTTGCTTGAAGCATATTTTAGGAAAAATATATAAAATTTCATTAATATAATTAAGAATTAGTATTGCATATAGTGATAAAATTAATAATATTATATTTTTATAAAAATATAATTAAAAAATTATAATAAAATTTTTATTTTTAAAATTTTATTCACGTGCATTTGATGCACGGGCAATAAAACTAATATAATTAAATGCACAAATTGGATCTAATTACTTAAATGTAATTAATGTAAATAAAATGAAAAAAGTTATGCATTTAAATGAATAATGAAGATAAGTTAATTAAATATATAAATAAAATTAATGGTTAAGATTCATCTTTGATAAATTAAATAGAAGATTAGGATTGTATTTAGGTGGAAAATCAATTCATTTTTATATAATAGTATAGAAGTATATTGAAAACTGATGGGAAAAAATTTTAAAGTTTTTGTAACGTATCGGTAGCGAGAAGAGAACGCCCCCTCAATTTAATGAAAAATTTTTGTCAGTGAAGTAACGAAGGGAAAACGTGCAGTTATGAGAAAAATAACTGCAGTAAATTAACAGAGGGATTGTTTAATTTTTCCAGTAAACTCTGCACCTCTTAATAATCCCTTCCCACTATGAGACTTTCGTCAAACAAATTTAATTAATGTTTTATTTTTCTCATAGCAATTGTTTTAAATGAAATATGCTTAAAAAAAATGTAGTTTTAATAATTTCAGAGATGAATCGATGTAAGAGCCGGGATTAATTATTTTAAAACAGTTTTAAAAATCAGAATTATATGATTTTGTAGGCGTATGAGATAGTTTGAAGTATTTATTGGGTTATTAATTCAGCATTGTTATTCTATTATTAGTTGCTAAGTAATTATTATATTTTTTCAAATTTATTGTGATTGGCCTCGAGATTGGTATGGAACAAGCTGAATTGTTTATGCATCTTTTAAGTCATGAATAATGAAGTTAATCATATAATGGAAGTTGGGCTTAATTAGGACCTAATTTTCCAAAAAAAAGAAGTTTTTTAAATGAATGAATAGAAATAATAATTTTTGAATTAATATTATGAACTTTGAGGTCGATAAAAATTCCAAGGATTATCAAATTCCCAAAATGATTACCTACCCTACGACAACAACAGAGCTTAAAAGAAATCAAGATTTAAAGCAATGAATGAGCGGCTAATAGATAGAGCTATCCATTAGCAATCGCTTGATCCATCTTGAACGTGGATATTACACAAGCAAGAGAGAAGCTAGCTAGTGCACTATCCACTCCACCCAACATTAAAGAGAAAAAAAATCAGCTACTCTTGGATTTCCTTTTCCTTTGGGAGCTTGAAGCCATTAGTCTTCACTTCAGGCCATTTCAACCTCCTGCCTTTTCTTCTTCTCCTCATTCTGTTGCTCAAAGGTCGGGGTACTTCGGCAATAACATCCGTACAGCACCAGCTGGAGGAATCCGAGTAGCGCTCCGAGCCCGTTCGGTAGCTGCACGGGGTCACCAAATCAGCCTTCAACAAATTTTAACAGCAGATGTTTAAGAAAGAAAAAACGGTCTAGTTATCAGAAAAGAAATGCGTTACCGTAATAAAAATGTCGAACTTCAAAAGTGCATAGGCGGTCCAACATACGCCATTGAGAAAGCTAACTAAAGAAAGCCAGAACGGCATGTACTTCACGCTTTTTGTCACAACCACCATTTTCTATAAAAGGGTTACAGTGTGGCAAAGATTAGCACGTAAATAATAATAAGCCATTGAATGCTTGATCATTATCATGTACTTAAAGGTATTAATCCAATTATTGTTGAATCATGTAATCTCTTAAATTTAGAAAGCTAATAATCACAATTTTTTACTTTCTTAATTCGCCTATAATTATATATTTTTTTCTGACTTGTTTTTTTTAAACATGGATGGATGAAAGTTATATACACAATCTCCCAGTTCGAATTAAAAAATTGAAAGAGGTATCGGAATAAAATTAAACAAAGCTTTACATAAAAACTTGACAAAGAAACAAAGGATAATGAGAAAGAGCTTGGTCTTGTAGAAGAAAATAAGAACTTACCATAACGGTAAGGGGGGAGGCGTACATGCAAGTGCCAAAGATGACACAGAGGATGCCGACCATCATCGTCCTCTTCTCATGAGTATGACCCACCGTGAGCACAACGGACACCACCACCGCCATGAAAGCCAGTTCCCCTGCTAGGAACTTCAAAACCTTCAACTGCAAGAATGTATCCAAAAATCCCAAAATCATCAATCAAAAACATAGATCTTCCAATCAGCCAATAAATATTTGAATTCAATCAACCAAGAATCGATTCAACGCACCCTCAAATCCTTAGGGGCATAAAGAAAGAAGATTGTAAGATAAGCACCCTCAAGCACAATACCAGTGCCATTTATGGTAACAACGAGTATTGAATTTGGGTGGACGATGGGTAAGCCATAGAAGACCCAGAGCATGCAATTGAGCAGAGTCGCAACATATGGGATTGGTGAGAACTGTTCTACTGCCTTCTTTCTCCATATTTTTATGAAAGTTGGTAATGGCGAAAGAAATAGTCCGAATGATATCACGTTCCCTGCCCCAATCCCATTTTCCCAATAAAATTCGTAAGAAATCAGAAAGGAAAAAATAAGTGAAATTAATCAAAGGCAAATTGTTATGCCGCGCCGAAGTTACCTATGATCCCCACAACGTTACGGACAGCATCGGTGCTCACCATCTTTGACGAAATCTTGAGAAAGCAAATGGACGCTGAAAAAGAGGATCAGATGAAGTTATGGAACTTGGAATTGGAAGAGTGGAAGGAGGTGAGGCTTTATATGAAGGTAGACATGCTCTAAATATATACTTGTAACCAAGAGGATGAATAATTTCGGGGAATTTGTTATCCAGATTGCCTAAAAGTGCTCCCCTCCTTTCTTCTCTATCTATTTTTGGATAAATTTTTAAAATAATTGCCATTAATAATTTAATTAGCTAATTTTATTTTCTATTTTTGGAATTTGTTTTTGTTATCTATTTTTGGAATCTATTTTTGTTATCCAGGTCCTTTTTTTTTGTTTTTTAATTGCTAATTTTAATAGCTAATTAAATTATGAACGGTAATTAAATTAAAAATTTATCCATAAAAAGATAGAGAAGCTTTTTTTTTGTGCTCATCCACAAACTTACATAAGCACACTTGCCCTCATATACTTGGAGTCATTGAGGTCACCTAGAGGCATTTCGTCAAAGCCTTTTTATCTCATTGTCATTTAGCTAATCAAGAGGTAACATATCTCCAGGATAGTGTGAAACGTTATAAAAGTATTGTGATACTGTTTTATATTTTTTTATTTTTTTCTATGTAGTCTTTTATGTAGCCCTCAAAACCCTATAATAATTGGTGACGAAAATCAGTTTGGGGAGCTTATACTGGATTTATTTGAAATGATATAGTGGATACTCTACCAGTTTTGGTAATCATAATTTTTTTAGTATTCTTCAGATTTTATCTCTACTTGTTTTTTCTCTCCATCTCCATTACTTTCTAGGTTCTTAGGTCACTCACTCTCAATTTCAACTCGATAGTCGAGCATCTTTGATTGAAAATTCTGAATTCAAAATAAAAGCAAATTATTTTGTTAATTGATTGATAATTTCTATCATAGGAATATAATACCAAAGTCATCTCATATGAAATTAACTTTTTAAGAGATTCATGACAAGTTAACTAAATCCACTTTCAAAGGCAAAGCGACATTTATTGTGTGGCTCAGTAAACATATCATATAGTTAGACATTCTCATCAATAAATATTTATCTTATTTTAAAAAAAAAAATTTACCAAAAATTATGTTATATTTATTAAACTTACATTTATTATTTATTAGTATTAATTATGAAATTCATTCAAATTTATTAATGAAAAAAAATATAAATATTTATAAAATATTATTTTCCTTAAAATAAGATAAATTTAAAATAATAATAATACGCTATGAATAAAAATGATTTAAAATTTTTTATTTTTAAATTGATTATGATAAATTAAATTGTAAAATTTTTTGACAGAATAACTCATAAAAAAATTTCATTCTAAATTATTTATTAAAAAATAAGAAAAAATATTTGCATTTAACATGTTAATAAAAAAATTAAAAAATAAATTCTAATGTAAAATTTATTTTTATTTTTTATTTATCTGACTTACTTTATGTCTCTTTCTACTTCATTTGGTAATTTCTCTCTCCTACATTCTCTCTCTTGAAATATTTTTTTAATGTTTTTAGAAGCTAAGCAAGTCTCCTATTCAATGGGCGAGTTTGCCTAATTCTAAATATTTTTTTTGTTTAATAGCTAATTAAATTATTAAAGGTAATTATTTTAAAATTTATTCTAAAGAATGTATGCAGGACCACCCACCGTAATAGCACTAGACTCAGCTGAGGGAGACTACGAGAGCGGCTCTTTCCTTTGTTTTCAATAATTAAACTAATTTACACATACCACATAAAATTTATGAAATTCGATATAGCTGATATTAAAAATCAAAATAATTCAATAATTGATAATGAAAAAACGTTTTAAATCCTTCCACAGCTAAATAAATAAATAGTCCTACCAAAGAATAATTTACGAAAGAAATTAAAGTTTTTGATACAATGGACGGTAAATTTTTGCACCTTCCAAGTCTGCATTCTGCTTGTATCTCCCTCAGTACTTATTCCTATTGGATTACATTGCAGCCAACCATCTTCGTTACATGAAAAACTGTCATCAATATCATCAATATATATGCTTCAACATATCAATTCGTCACTTGAGTGAAAGTTTTCCCATTTCAATAAGAAGCAAGTCTCCTCCCTGGATTAAACATTAGATAGCTCATTCCTCCTTTAACAACATAAATAAAACATAAAAGGATTACCTATTAATCTTAAATTCAAAGAGAACTGGTTTAATTGATATGCATGCCCCGTAATTTTCGAAATATAGATCATAAGTTTAATGCCTTGTGACATTAATTTAGATTAAATATTTATTAACTTCCTAGATGAAATTTAAAAAATATCGACTCTATGCACTGTGGCATCATGTCTACTTGTTTGTAATGGCCTTATGATTGTGCTTTTTTGAATTTTCGGCCAAATATAGGCACTTAAAATCCCTACAAAAGTTGTAGTTTTTTTTTTTTTTTTAAGAGTTTACATGGTTTCCATGAATCTTCCCATATAGTGTATTTAACATTCTTTTGCGGGCTATAATTTACATTGACAAATAATAAAAAAGTTTAATACTTTAGCTTTAAATGGCAATCCACCACAAACAAATAAATGAAAAGAATATGGAAAATGTACGTACACCCATGTCTACATATACAGATATTTGTTCGCAAATGTCTGCATATTATACTCAGTTCAAGCTGAAAGAAAGCACTCCATTTGAGAGACTCGTTCGGGAGCTGGAAATAGGCTTAGAAATGGAGCACAATGTACCAACTTTGGCCGCATCCTCTAGGAAGTCGCCCTCTCCGACGATGTTGATCTTAGAAGTTCCTTCTCTCAGCAGATGAATCTTTATTTACGTAGGCTAGAGTCAACCTTCCATGTGAGACACATCAATAATCAAGCGAACAACACATATTGCTCCCGTAAGATATCTCTCACAACTGGATCAACATCAGGACCACATCAAGATGCTACTCGCCACTTATCGCCTCAACAGGATGACCTTAGATCAGCTCCATGCTCTATACCTGTCCAATATCCCTACTATTTTCAAGCGCAACTCACCCTCTCGCACCTAAATGGGGCGACCTCAGGCCCTCTCTCTGCACGTCGACTCAATCCATGAGTTTAACTACTCGCATTTGCTCTCTCTATGATCGCCACTTCACTCAACACTGACGATCGTGCTACATCAAGGCCTAATAAGATAGCTATTGTATGACATACATATTCACTGTAACTCTTCAAACCCTATATATAAAGGGAGGAGCTAGATAGCAAGACACGAAGAAACAACATGAAACAACACCACGCTACATGACACAAAATATGAGAGAATCCATGAAAAGAGAGATTGTGTCATCTTTCCCATTTTCTTAGCTTAAGTTCTATAGTACATAACACTCGCTTCCATTATATTGGTACATCTGGCTTATATAATAAAGATTGTCTAATAGATCTCCTCTCTCTCTCTCTCTCTCTCTCTCTCTCTCTCTCTCTCTCTCTCTCTCTCTTACCCCAACACTACTCCCGTATTTTGACTTCATCATCTTCACCTCCAACCTTCAATCCACAGATGGCCTAAAGTATGACCTAGCATCATTCACTAGCAAAAAAAAGGATTTAACATCCTCTCGGGTGTAGTAAGTGTGGATCTAATGTCAAAGGCAAGAAAATCTTTACATACTAGGCGACCTCATAAATCACGATAAATGATGGATGAGTGAGCAAATGCGTCATAACCATAACAATTTCAAAAGTTATACCACCATCCATAACAATTTCAAAAGTTATACCACCATCCAGGAGCAAATTAGAAAAGTTGTTCACTTAAAATTGATGAAATGGAAGGATGTAGAAGATTTTAGGCAATTGATTTATGAGCTGGATTTAATCTCTATTTTTCTCTGTGGCATAAAGTTATTGGGCTTTTTAGTTAGATCTTTCGGTGTTGCTTTGGTCCCAATCTCCTTTGTTTTCTATATTTTTTGGGTTTTCTATATGCTGTCTGGTTCTACCGTTCAGTTTCTTTATGTGAATTTGGTGATTGGCCTCCAGATTAGTATGGGGCAAGAATGATCATTACCTCCCCCATTCCCTGGATGGTGGTTCCTTGCAACATTAATATTTTTGAAGGCAGGTCTCGCAACTTGGGATTTTGGGGGTTGCAATTTCGTTTCATTGAGCACTGGTTGCTTCTCATTATTATTCTTGATTAATTGAATAGAAATAATAACTTTTGAATTAATATTATGAACTTTGAGGCCGATAAAAATTCCAGCGTTTATCAAATTCCCAAAATGATTACCTACCCTACGACAACAACAGAGCTTGAAAGAAAAAAATCAAGATTTAAAACAGTGAATGAGCGGCTAAGAGAAAGAGCTATCCATTAACAATCACTTGAGCCATCTTGAAAGTGGATATTACACAAACAAGGGAAAAGCTAGCTAGTGCACTATCCACTCCACCCAGCATCAAAGAGAAAAGAAAATCAGCAACTCTTAGACCTCCTTTTCCTTTGGGAGCTCGAAGCCATTAGTCTTCACTTCAGGCCATTTCAACCTCTTGCCTTTTATTCATCTCATCATTCTGTTGCTCAAAAGCTGGGGTACTTCGGCAATAACATCCATACAACACCAACTGGAGGAATCCGAGAAGCGCTCCGAGCCCGTTTGGTAACTGCACGAGGGTCAACACATCAGCCTTCAACAAATTTTAATCACAGATGATTAAGAAAGAAAAAATAGTATGGTTGTCAGGAAAGAAATGCGTTACCGTAATGAAAATGTCGAACTTCAAAAGTGCATAGGCGGTCCAACATACACCATTGAGAAAGCTAACTAAGGAAAGCCAGAACGGCATGTACTTCACGCTTTTTGTCACGACCACCATTTTCTATAAAAGGGTTACAGTGTGGCTAAGATTAGCACATAAATAATAATATTCAATCGAATGCTTGATCGTTATCATGTACTTAAACGTATTAATCCAACTATTGTTGAATCATATAATCTCTTAAATTTAGAAAGCTAATAATCATGATTTTTTACATTCTTAATTCGCCTATAATTACATAAATTTAGAAAAAAATTAAAGAATGCTTTACATAAAAACTTAATAAAGAAATAGAGGATAGTGAGAAAGAGCTTGGTCTTGTGGAAGAAAATAAAAATGTACCATAACGGTAAGTGGGAGGCGTACATGCAAGTGCCAAAGATGACACATAGGATGCCAACCATCATCGACCTCTTCTCATGACTGTGACCCACCGTGAGCACAACAGACACCACCACCGCCATGAAAACTAGTTCCCCTGCTAGGATCTTCAAAACCTTTAGCTGCAAGAACATATCCAAAAATCCCAAAACCATCAATCAAAAACACGGATCATCCAATCAGCCAATAAATATTCAAATTCAATCAATTGAGAGTCGATTCAATGCACCCTCAAATCCTTAGGGGCGTAAAGGAAGAAGATTGTAACATAAGCTCCCTCAAGCACAATACCAATGCTATTAATGGTAACCACGAGAATTGAATTTGGGTGGATGATGGGTAAGCCATAGAAGACCCAGAGCATGCAATTGAGCAGAGTTGCAACATATGGGATTGGTGAGAACTGCTCTACTGCCTTCTTTCTCCATATTTTTATGAAAGTCGGTAAAGGCGAAAGAAACAGTCCAAATGATATCACATTTCCTGTCCCAATCCCATTTTCCAAATACAATTCATAAGAAATCGGAAAGGAAAAGTAAGTGAAATTAATCAAAGGAAAATTGTTATGCCGCGCCGATGTTACCTATGATCCCCACGACGTTACGGACAGCGTCGGTGCTCACCATCATTGACGAAATCTTGAGAAAGCAAATGGACTTAGAAAAAGAGATGAGATGTGGGGAAGATGAGGATATGAGGTTATGGAACTTGGAATTGAAAGAGTGGATGGAGGTGAGGCTTTATATGAAGGTGGACATGCTCTAAATATGAACTTGTAATCAGGAGGATGAATAATTTCCGGGAATTTGTTATCCAGATTGCCTTAAAATGTTCCCCTCCTTTCTTCTTTATCTATGTTTGGATAAATTTTTAAAATAATTACTATTAGTAATTTAATTAGCTAATTTTATTTTCTATTTTAGGACTCTATTTTTGTTATCTATTTTTGCAATCTTTTTTTGTTATCCCGATCATTTTTTTTTTGTTGGTTTAATAGCTAATTTTAACAGCTAATTAAATTATTAACGGTAATTAAATTAAAATTTTACCCAAAAAAAGATAGAGAAGCGATCTTTTTTTTTGTGCTCAGCCACAAACTTACATAAGCACACTTGCCCTCATATACTTGAAGTCATTGAGGTCACCTAGAGGCATGTCATCAAAGCCTTTTGATCTCAGCATCATTTAGCTAATCTCACCCACAAACTTACATAAGCACACTTGCCCTCATATGCTTGGCGTCACTGAGGTCACCTAGAGGCATGTCATCAAAGCCAGTTGATCTCATCGTCATTTAGCTAATCAAGAGGTAACATATATCCAGGATAGTGTGAAACATTATACAATTATTATGGTACTCAATTTTAACTCGATAGTTATGCTGAGCATCTTCGATTAAAAATTTTGAATTCTTAATAAAGGCAAATTATTTTGTTAATTGATTCATAATTTCTATCATAGGAATATAATAAAAAGTCATCTCATATGAAATTAACTTTTTAAGAGATTCATGACAAGTAAACTAAATCCACTTACAAAGGCAAAGAGACATTTATTGCGTGCCTCAATAAATATGTCATGTTCTCAGCCATTCTCATCAATAAATATTTATCTTATTTATAAAAAAATACCAAAAATAATGTTATATTTATTAAGCTTAAATTAATTATTTATTAGTATTAATTATGGAATTCATTTTAATTTATTAATGAAAAAATAAGATAAATATTTATACAAAATATTATTTTCCTTAAAATAAGATAAATTTAAAATAATAATAATACACTATGAAAAAAAAAACACATTAAAAAACTTTATTTTTAAATTGATTATGATAAATTAAATTATGAAATTTTTTACACATAATAACTCATTAAAATTTTTTCATTTTAAATTTCTTATTAAAAATAAGAAAAAATATTTGCATTTAACATTTTAATAAAAAAATTTAAAAATAAATTCTATTGAACCTCCTAACATACATGAAAAAAAAATTGTTTTGAATTTTTTTATTTATCTCTCCTACTTTATTTCTCTATCTACTTTAGTTTATTTCTCTTTCCTACATTCTCTCTCTTGAAATCTTTTTATTTTTATTTTTTTAGAAGCTAAGCAAGACCCATTCAATGGGCAACGTTCCCTAGTTCCAAATTTATTTATTTTTTGATTGAATAGCTAATTAAATTATTAACGATAATTATTTTAAAAATTTATCGTAATAGCAGGGGAACTCAGCAGAGGGAGACAACGAGGGCGGCTCTTTTCTTTGTTTTCAATAATTAAACTAAATTACACATACCACATAAAATTTATGAATTTCGATACAACTGATATTAAAAATCAAAATAATTCAATAATTGATATTGAAAAAACGTTTTAAATCTTTCCACAGCTAAATAAATAAATAGTCCTATCAAAGAATAATTTACGAAAGAAATTAAATTTTCTGATAAAATCGACGGTAAATTTTTGCACCTTCCAATTCTGCATGTATCTCCCTGTCAGTACGTATTCCTATTGGATTATATTGCAGCCAACCATCTTCATCACATGAAAAACTGTCATCAATAGCATCAATATGCTTCAACACATCAATTCGCAGGTCAAACTGATCTCTCATATCCATCGCCACTTGGAGCACGTCCGATTGCAGTAAAACCTGAATGCAAGTGAAAGTTTTCCCATTTCAATAAGAAGCAAGTCTCCTCCCTTAGATAGCTCATTCCTTTAACAACATAAATAATACATAAAAGGATTACCAATTAATCATAAATTCAAAGAGAACTGGTTTAATTGATATGCATGCCCTGCAATTTTCAAAATATAGATCATAAGTTTAATGCTTTGTGACATTAATTTAGATTAAATATTTATTAACTTCCCAGATGAAATTTAAAAAATATCGACTCTATGCACTGTGGCATCATGTCTACTTGTTTGTAATGGTCTTATGATTGTGCTTTTTTGAATTTTCGGCCAAAAATAGGCGCTTGAAATATTTTGTTAGTTTACCCATTAGCACACATCCTTTCTATGTGATTAAGCTAATTTAAGGGTTTTTTCTCAGTATAATAATCCCTACAAAAGTTGTATATTTTTCTTTTCATTTTTGGAGTTTACATGATTGTCATAAATCTTCTCATATGGTGTATTTAACATTCTTTTGCAGGCTATAATTTGCATTGACAAATAATGACCTCAAAAGTTGTATATTTCTCCCCGGCAATGTTGACCTCAGAAGTTCCTCTCTCAGCAGACGAATCTTTATTCACCCAGGCTAGAGTCGACCTTCCATGCGAGACACATCAATAATCAAGCTAACAGCACATATCGCTCCCGTAAGACATCTCTCACAACTGGGTCAACCTCAGGACCACATCAAGATGCTGCCTCGCCACCTCTCTCCTCAACAGGGTGACAACAGATTGGCTCGCTGCTCTATGCTTGTCCAATCTCCCTACTATTTTTAGACGCTACTCACCCTCTCGCACCTTAATGGGGCAACCTCAAGCGCTCTCTCTACACGCCGACTCAATCCATGAGTTCAACTACTCGCATTCGCTCTCTCTGTGATTGCCACTTCACTCAACACAGACAACCGGGCTATATCAAAGCTTAATAAGATAGCTACTGTATCACATACATATTCACTATATCTCTTCAAGCCCTATACATAGGGGGAGGAGCTAGATAGCAAGACATGAAGAAACAACATGAAACAACACCATGCTACATGATGCAAAATATGAGAGAATGCACAAAAAGAGAGATTGTGCCGTCTTTCCCATTTTCTTAGCTTAAGCTCTGTGGCACATAGCACTCGCTTCCATTATTTTTGTACATCTGGCTTATATAATAAAGATTGTCTAATCGATCTGCTCTCTCTTACTCCCACACTCTTTCTCCCGTATTTCAGCTTCATCATCTTCACCTCCAGGCTTCAACCACATATGGCCTAAAGTATGGCCTAGCATCATCCACCAGACAAAAAAGGATTTGACATCCTCTCAGGTGTAGTAAGTGTGGATATCATTTCGAAGGCAAGAAATTGTTGCATACTAGGAGACCTGAGACCTCGCTGAACACAGTGAATCCGAAGTACAACACTCAGCTCGAACTACAAGAAATGGAAGGGTGCCTTTTGAAGTCCATTCAAAAAGCACTCACCGGATGAAGCATATTTCAAATCTAGCCAACCCTGCTTGCCCATAGGCGAGTGACGAGAATTCCAATCTACCAGCCAAATGGATCAAAGAAACATAACCAGGGTCGACTAACACCTTTTGAAGATCGATCTCCGATGTGAGAGCACCTCCAAGTTCAAGGTACCTCACTTTGAAGCTTACCGAGGAAAGACTGATCTTAAGGATCACATGACGACCTTCGAGTCCATAACTTTCCTCCTTAACATCGATGATAGCCTCTATTATCATCTCTTCTCACTCTTAAAGACTCAGCACTAAGGTGGTTCACTTGCCCACCCATTGGGGTGATCACCTCCTTCGCTGAATTGAAGCAGATGTTTTTCACACAGTTCGCCAGTGCCTAGAGACCCCTAAAAAGTTCACAAGTTCTATTAAAGATAAGACAAGAACTTGGCGAGTCACTAAGAAGCATCATATTGAGGTTCTAGAAGAAAATGCTACGTGAAAGACCTAGAACCAACATTTGCTCAAGCAGGTCTGACCCAAAGGCTAAGGGAAGATCCTTTCTGATACACATTTGGCTTGCACTAGCAGAAGATGCTAGCAGAACTGTTGGAACTTGCCAACAATCATGTCAACATTGAAGAATACAACTGGGTGATTGAATCCTCCACAATTGCTCTATGCTATGAGATCATCGCAAGGATGAACCTCCCCCCAAGGAGGGGCTAAGAAAGAACTCAGTCCAGATAAAGAAGGGACCAAGGAACAAGCTTTCATCGCAATCAGTGGCGCCCCAATTTGTACAGGATGCTCGCTCAAACAAGACTGTTGAGGACAGAAGCACAACTTTAAGGATCCAAGAAGTATGCAGAGTGGTCACACACCGACAGGAGACATCCGACCTATACTATGCTGAGGGTATCCATGGACGAGCTTATAGAGGCTATCTAGAACAACAAATTCTTTAGGCATCCACCACCTATGAAGATTTATAGTGCTCGAGATACCTCGAGGTACTACACATTACCACATCGCGTTCAAATTTCCAACTCAAGGAAAAGAAGTTATGGTGAAGGGTGACTAGCCCAATCGCAGACTTGCTATTTACAAGCCATAAGTCTATGGTTGCACCTTTGAAGGTTTCGAGGCAACCAAATCCATCAAAGAAGTGCCTATAACATAAAGCAAGCTAGGTAGATCTCTCAGAATCAACACCTCTTTTAGCAGAGAACATCAAGACGAGGTTGTCCAACTCTCCGCGACAACTCGAAGTGTTCACATGGATATGTCGGGCATTAGTGAAGAAATCATATGTCATCGGCTAAATGTAAGAAGAGACTTTCGCCCAATCAAACAGAAGATTAGGAAAATTACTACCTCACTTACTAAGCCTATCCAAGAAGTTGAAAAAGCCACTCGTCGCCAAATTCATCAAATTTCCACGTTGGATTTCCAATGCACTGATGGTTTAGATATCAACAGGCAAATGGAGAATGTGTGTGGATTTTACTAATCTAAACTTAGCATGCCCCAAGGACAGCTACCCACTTCCAAGGATCAACATCCTACTTGACTCTGTAGTGGGTTATACAGTCATAAATTTCCTAAACGCTTTTTCGGGCTCTCATTAGATCAAGATGCACCCTAAAAATCGAGAAAAAATTGCATTCATCACAATAGGTCTGTACTACTACAAAGTCAGGCCTTTCAGATAGAAAAATGCAAGAACAACTTATCAAAGGATGATGGACAATGTATTCAAGGAGTAGAATGGAATAAACATTGAAGTCTACGTTGATGACCTCTTAGTCAATAATTGATTTCTTGTTTATCATATTAAAGATTTACAAAAAAAAAACATTCCTTACTCTCGAAAAGTACAATATGAGATTGAATCATTTGAAATGCTAATTCAAAAGAGGTGCAGGAAAATTTTTAGGGTTTCATCTTTACACCCGATGGAATGAAAATCAATCCAAACAAAGTGCAAGTTATACTTGACATGAAGATGCCCAAAATTGCGAAGGAGTCTAGCGACTCTTCGGACGAATCAGCGGGCTCAACTGTTTCATCTCTCGACTAGGAGAGATGTGCCGTGTTTTTAAAAATCCTCAGAAATGCAAAGATATTTTCCTACAAAGAAGAATGTGAAATAGCCTTCCCACAGCTGAAGATTCTACTCATTCACTGCCTCTTCTTGCAAGCCTATGACCAAGAGAAAATTTGTTGCTATATCTCGACGTCGACAAAGACGTCGTCGTCAGCTCCGTACTCATTAAGGGGCTGTTTGGTATACAGAATTAGGAGGGTAAAGTAAAGTAATTACATGCATTTCTTAAATTAGGTTGTTTGGTTTATTTTGAGCGGAACAAATGAAAGTCTTTCGAGGTATTAGCGGTGTATTAGAGAAGCCCGATCGCGCGAATTCGAAAGCCGCTCAAATTGAGCAGGTTAGAAATTCTCCGCGCGAGAACCAGCCTCCCGCGATGGTTTCGCAGAAGCAGAGCTTACAAGTTCTCTCTTCTTCTCCGTTCTTCCCACTCTCTCTGGCTCTCTAGTCCGAAGTCCTCCGATCGTGGTCTCCGATCTGACGAGGTACAGCAGCGGCGCGAGGTATAAGAATGGAACGAGGTTGAAAAGCATTCCAGCCCATTGGTCTGGGTGGTGGTCCTCGAGCAGTTCAACGACACTCTCATCCGGGTCCTGCTTGTCGCCGTTGTTGTCTCCTTCGTCCTTGCTTGGTTTAATGGAGAAGAGAACGAGGTGACTGGTATGAATAACTTCTCTTCGAAGTTCGAACCGACTCAGGAGGCCGCAAGAGACTCCGACTCCGATAGAGTTGTGGAAGGAGGAATCGAGCAACGAAACTAAGAGGCAGGAAAAGTTTTCTTCGTTATTCTTTTCGGAGTCAGTGGATTGTTTGCAGCAATAATTCGAAGGTTTTCATTACGCCTTTGTAACTTTCCCTCTATCGATTTTCTTTGGGAACAACTTCATCTTTCTTCTTTCCTTTTCCTCGGCCATTTTATTTAAACCTGTTCTATGATTTTCTTTAAAGGTTTTCAGAGTTGGTGTATCTGGTAGCTTCGTTATCAAAAATTTTGGATTACGATCAGATATTTTAGACATGATTTGTATGTTTCCCATTTTTGTTTATCTTGAATTAAATTTCCTGCAGGTGCATTTGGAGGATTTCATCCAATCAAGCTCTTGGGAGGCGGCACAGAGCAGGCCTGGGGCAGGCATTTCTTTTTCCCTTATAGATTCATTCTTGCAGTATTTTCACAATGACCACCATTGTTTGTCTTATACGCAGATCATAAAGCTTGAGAGCTAACATAAACAAGCAACCAATTTTATGACTAAATAGTTATTTGCCTAGAATTAATGAATTACTATTGATTATCTTTGTTCTATTTTAGTGATCCTGGAATCAGCAAAAAAGATGATATTGTATGGCAATATGCAAAAATCATTGTGGATAAAAGGTTATATAAAGACATATATAATT